AAATAATTATCCGAATCTGAATTTTCGGGTATTTTTAAAATATTATTTGATCTTATCTCATCTCATATCCGGGTACCCTAATTTCAGATACTCGTCTCACGGGTCTGATCGGATACCCGAATTTCGGGTTTTTTTCCCAACCCTATAACAGACTACGAACGAACTTCCTTTTGGGCCATTAAATGGCGTCAATTACCTATTTTTTTATTTTTTTTATAACATTAAATATATTATCGTAATGCAAAATATGCGATATTGTAGCAGTGTTCCACTAGCAAAATCTTAGTATTTGTTATTTGAATTTTCTCTAAAGTAGTCTTTATTTATTAACATATAAAAATCGTCACATTTTTTAAACATTCATTTAAAATAGTTAAAATCTCATTTATTTAGAAATCCAAATAAATATTTATCTTTAAAAAAGCATCTAAATATCCCCTTAGTTAAAAAGAATATTTTTAAAACATCAAACATTAATAAGTTCAAATTAAGCATATTTTTTTTAGAAAAAGTATAACCAAAATAACTATGCTTTTTTAGAAAAAAGAAACCTTATATAAATACTGATTTTGAGATTAATTAATACGTAGATTTTGGAATTTTCAAAAAAAAAATGCCAAATTTATTTCTAGATTCTAATTAAGTCCATAAATTTTAAAAAGATTTCCAAAAAACACATTGAATTCTATAAAGTTTTCTAGAAAATTATATCTCTAATAAGAAATGATATCAAGAACAATATCAAATCCCGTATTTTTTTTTAAAACATTTAAAATTCATGATTTTAATTGAGATTTGCAAAAACAAAATCATGTACTTTTAAAAAATTTAAAATTTGTGTATTAATTTAGAAATTGGTAAAAAAAATTGTAATTTATATAAGATTTTTTAATTTTTACTCTAAACTTTTCACCCCAAAAATTTAAAAAAGTTTAAATGGGGGAATTACAAAAATAACTTTAAATGTCATTTTTACTTCACGACATAACCTTCACTTAAAAAAAAACAACATCATGTGATAACCTTATAATAATATACTTCCAAAAATACCCTTCATTTTTTATTTTTTATTAAATTAAAAAAATAAATTTCAGCTCTCTCTCCTCTCTCGTTTCTCTCTCTCCTCATCCGCTCTCTCTTCTCTCTCGTTCAGTAGTTTTCATACTCTCTTCATCTCCAATCTTTTATTTTAACTAATTTGTTGCGGAAAAACAATATTAAACTTGGGCATTTCATCGATTCAACACAAATCTGAATAAAAGGTAAGTATTGTTTCTAAATTTTGTTATTAAGTTTGAGCATTTGTGTTTTATTATTTTATCATTTTATATTTAATCCATATGAATATGTTTGAAGCAAAAATGACATATATATCAATAATACCATGATTCACGTTATTCAAACTGATCGAAATCATTATATTTGTGAAATTCGTTAAAATGGAAGAATTCGGAAAACTGGTAACATATACATGTCAAAATGGTCAGACTGGTCATACTCCTAACTGGTCATACTTGTCAAAATTGGTCAAACTGGTCATACTCGTGAAATTAGTCAAACTGGTTATACTCATCAAACCTGTGATATTTTTCAAGTATATTATTTTATCACATTTTGTGTTTATTTGTACAGGTATAATGGATGCAACTAATGATAGGATGACGATTATTTATTATAAATCCGGTGGCAAGTGGGTAGTAAATTCGATCAGAGCATATGAATGGGAAGGAAAAGCTAAATATGCTAAAGGAGTGATATTCCCTTGTCATCCGATTTTGTATTTGATATGACTGGTTTGATCAGAGAATGACCGTCTCGACGATTTTGGTAAACAAGTTTGATTATGTGACTGTAATGTATTTTTAAATTCGTATTTTCGTATTTGTATTTGATATCTCTACTTTGGCCATATTATCATATGTTTACAGGGTTTAATGTACTTTTTTAAACCGATGAATCTTATAATTTCGAACAGGTCTGACCGTCTGACCATGATATGACCATCTGACTGTCTTATCATTTAGGTACGGAAAAAAAGACCTAAATTAAATTCAAACGATTAGAAAAGTTGTATAAGGGTCATAAGAATACTTTTTCATCGTTTTGGAGTTCTAATTTCATGTGAAAAAAAAAATCTACCAACATAAGTCAATTGTATCCAATGTGTTACACAAACACTACTAGTAGTTTAGGTCTTCTTTGGAAAGAGTTACATTGACATCCAAAAAAGATGCTCAATCCATATTGCTGCGACCGATTTCAACTAGAGAAATCAGTCATACGATATGATTATTATGATGTTAACACTTTTAAACCGATGAATCTTGCAATTTCGAACAGGTCTGACCGTCTGACCATGGTATGACCATCTGACCGTCTGACCATTCGGGTACAAAAAAAGACTTAAATTAAATTCAAACGATTAGAAAAGTTATATAAGGATCATAAGAATACTTTTTCATCGTTTTGAAGTTCTAATTTCATGTGAAAAAAATAAATCTACCAACATACATCAATTGTATCCAATGTATTACACAAACACTACTAGTAGTTTAGGTCTTCTTTGGAAAGAGTTACTTTGACATCCAAAAAAGATGTTCAATCCATATTGCTGCGACCGATTTTAACTAGAGAAATCGGTCATACGATATGATTATTACGATGTTAACACTTTTAAATCGATGAACCTTGCAATTTCGAACAGGTTTGACCGTCTGACCATGGTATGACCATCTGACCGTCTGACCATTCGAGTACGGAAAAAAAGACCTAAATTAAATTCAAACGATTAGAAAAGTTGTATAAGGGTCATAAGAATATTTTTTCATCATTTTGGAGTTCTAATTTCATGTGGAAAATTTTTTTTACCAACATAAGTCAATTGTATCTAATGTGTTACACAAACACTACTAGTAGTTTATGTCTTCTTTGGAAAGAGTTACTTTGACATCCAAAAAAGATGCTCAATCCATATTGCTGCGACCGATTTCAACTAGAGAAATCGGTCATACGATATGATTATTGCATGTTAAAAATTTTAAACCGATGAATCTTGCAATTTCGAACAAGTCTGACCGTCTGACCAAGATATGACCGTATGACCGTCTGACCATTTGGGTACGAAAAAAATGCCTACATTAAATCTAAACGATTCAAAAAATTGTATAGGTCTTATAAGATTACTTTTGCATCGTTTTGGAGTTCTAATTTCACGTGGAAAAAAAATCTCTCGACATAAATCAATTGTACTCAATTTGTTACATAAACACTACTATTACTTTAGGTCTTCTTTGGAAGGAGTTATATTGATAAACAAAAAATGTACTCAATCCATATTGGTACGACCGATTTGATCTTGAAATATTTGTGATATGATGTGATTATTACAATGTTAATACTTTTAAAACGATAAATTATGTAATTTTGAACAAATCTGACCGTCTGACCAAGGTATTACCGTCTGATCGTATGACCGTCTGACCATTTGGATATGAAAAAAAATGTCTAAATTAAATCTAAACGATTCGAAAAATTGTATAGGGGTTATAAGATTATTTTTGCATCGTTTTGGAGTTCTAATTTCACGTAGAAAAAAAATCTCTCGACATAAGTCAATTGTACTCAATGTGTTACATAAACACTACTATTACTTTAGGTCTCTTTGGAAGGAGTTGTTGATGACATCGTTGTTCTTGGCACCATAAGCAAAATCAGATCGGTTTGACCGATGTGATATTTCAATAGCCAAAATTTCTTTGAGAATTTGCATCAAACACTTTCCATGCATTCTCAAATTCTTCAACTTTGGTGTGTCGGATCTCGTTCTAGAGGAAAAGTTTGACGAGTGTAAGCTTAAATGATATTGTTCCTTCGAATCGAATCGAAGTGAAACCCTAATAAGCCAAAAATTTAATATAAGAAGAACATGTTTGATCTACGCTTTTAAATTCGTAAATTCATCATTTTTTTAAAAAGTCTGACTAGTCCGGCTCGTATAATCCTATGACGAGTCTAATGATATGATCAAAATATGATCGGTATGACCAAAGTCCGACCATATGACCAAAGTCTGATCGTCTCATCAAAGTATCATCGGTTTGACCAAAGTCTAACCGTCTGACCGATTTTAAATTTAAAAAACGTGTTATATGAGATTATTATTATACCATATTAACACTTTTAAAATGATAAATTCATCAATTTTTAAGAAGTCTGACTGTATTACCAATGTTTGACTGTCTTATCAAAGTGTGACCGATATGACCATTTTACACGAAAAATAAAGGTCTAAATTAAGTTTAAACGATTCAAAAAGTTGTATAATGGTTATAAGAATACATTTCATCGTTTTGGTGATCTAATTCCATGTATAAAAATAAGCTCTTAACATAAGTCATATTCACTCAAAGTGTGACCGGCTGACCAAATTGCGAACGTCTGACCAAAATCTGATCGGTATGACCAAAGTCTGACCGATATGACCAGTATGATGTTTTAAGAGCCAAAATTTCTCTGAAGATTTTTATCGAACACTTTCCATGCATTATCAAATTCTTCAACTTTGGAATATCAGATCTCGTCATACTAGAGAAATATATCGAGTGTAAGACGGAAATTGAGAAATTTGTTATTAGAATCGCCAACGAAATCTCTTTGGAGAGAAAAATAAAAAAATGCGTTTTGAATTTTAAAAAAAGTGAATAAATTTTTCGAAGATTTTTTTCATTATATAAAGAGTTGCCACGTATTCATTTTTTTAATGGTAAATTAGTCTTTTCGCTATTTTAGTTTTTTTTTTTGAAAATCTTAAATCTCTAAGTCATTTCTTAAGGTTATTTTTACAATTTTGCCCTGTTTAAATACACGATTTTATTTCAAATGAATAATTAATGGGCCACACATGTTTCGTTCTCGGCCCATGGTCATGGGCCGAGTATGATCCACGAAAACACGTGGCGACATCTTCGTGGAGAAGAACCTGAAAGTAACGGTAGCGAAATGTAAACGCACAGAGACCAAAAAGGCAAAACCCCGATCCTCTCCTCTCCTCTCCTCTCCTCTCTCTCTCTCTCTCTCTCTCTCTCTCTCTCTCTCTCGGTGACGAACAACAGCACACGAACGAAGCTTCATTCTCCGGAATCCAGATCTGGTAAGTTTATCGAGATCAGTGGGCTATGGAATCTCGAGGAAAACGAGGAAGAAGAACACCTCTGTCGGTGGTCGCCGCGGTGTTCTTCCTGCTCTTCATCCATAGTGCTCGGTCGTTTTACCTTCCCGGTGTTGCTCCTGAAGACTTTGAGAAGGTGTGTTTTACAATTTCTCTTTTGTCCGATAAATCGTTTCGTGTGATTTTTTATGATTTGGGGACAGTTTCCGCATGATCTGGCATTCTGATTTGTCGGATCTGTGTTTCGTTTGGGGATCTGATCTGAATCTGGTTTTTGTTTGATTTGGAGTGATGAGTTGTGATTTTTTATTCTTGAAAAATTTTAGCGATCGAGAATTACTGTGATGCGTTCCACTCCGTGGGGACTTCTCTGTCTATGGACTTGTCGATTCGTTGTGTATGTTATGCATGTTTCCTAGGATGCCGTGTGTTCTTCGTTATGCTTGAGGATGGTTTCCTTGTCGTAAATCTTCATTTTTTTTGGATGTGATTCGTCAGTAGATGGATGGTTTCCTTGAGGATGGTTTCCCTTGTCTTATGTGCCTTTTGAACTCTGTATTGGTGGAGATTGAATACTGAATCATCGTATTGCACATTTCTGGTGACGTTGCATCAAATGTTTTTTTTTTTTGGTAAGGGTTGTATCAAATGTTGAGGCTTGGTAAGCAGCTTTGAAGGTTATATAGTCCAGGAATTTGTAGCTACCCCTGTATCATCCTCGTGGATAAATTTAAATCTTCTTCAAAGCTCACATGAACACATTCTGCCTGCCTTACCTGCCGAAATCTCCTGATGTCTTGTTGTTGCTGTTGAACTGTTCCCAGTTGGTATATCTGAGTATGCCATCGGGAACATGTGGTCAGCGGTTCATCATTGATGGACTGTCTGGAATGAAGTCGTTATTGATTGTTTGGTTTCCTTCTATAGGATGTTGACCTTGATGGTTGGTACTGATTTCTAGATAATCATATTGTATTTGCAAAAGCGTTTATTTATCCCTTTCAGTCCTATGGATGCATCCTTTTGATCTCATGCATGTTGCTGAAGGTTGTCTTGGTGGTTTCTTCTGTGTTTTATGTGTTCTGGTATTCGCAGGGAGATGAGCTGAAGGTGAAGGTTAATAAATTGACCTCGATAAAGACACAGCTTCCTTATTCCTATTATTCTCTTCCCTTTTGCCGGCCCAAAAAAATAGTGGACAGTGCTGAGAATCTCGGGGAAGTGCTTCGAGGCGACCGCATTGAAAATTCTCCTTATGTGGTTAGTTTCAGAATCTATATCGAGAATATCTGAATCTTATATTTGCTAATATTTTGGTGAGAACTGGTCAGTTGAATCAACCCGATAAGCTGGTGTATGTTTTCCGGTTTGTCTTCAGTTTAAAATGCGAGAAGCTCAAATGTGCAACGTGCTTTGCCGGATCACACTTGATGCCAAAACCGCTAAAGAGTTTAAAGAGAAGATTGCAGATGAATATCGTGTAAACATGTATGATCGGTTTGCATAGTCTCATCATTTCTATGATTTCTCTATATATTATTCACTGCTCTACATCCTCTAACGATATACTCTGATTGTCTTCAGGATCTTAGATAATCTCCCTCTTGTTGTTCCGCTTCAGAGAGCTGATCCAGGAGCTCCTCCTGTTTATCAGCTCGGCTATCATGTTGGGCTTAAAGGCCAATACACAGGGGTAAGTAGATTGTTCGTCGAATACTAGGGCCTGAAGCCACATCCACAGTTTCATTTCTGGCCACTGAATCTACCTACTCTTCCTGTGTTTTCTGATCTTATACAGACCAAGGAAGAGAAGCATTTCATCCACAACCACTTGGCTTTCACTGTCAGATACCACAGGGACATGCAAACTGATTCGGCAAGAATTGTTGGGTTTGAGGTTAAACCTTACAGGTAAGATTCTCCTCTTGGAATATCAAAACTTTTCCCGTCAAGGTCTTCAATTTCGCACGTTTAACAATTTCATTTCTCACCCTCTGCGTATAGTGTTAAGCATGAATACGAAGGGAAATGGAAAGAGAACACCCGCTTGACAACTTGTGACCCACATACAAAGCGCACAATTACCAATTCCAATGCTCCTCAAGAAGTCGATGATAAGAAGGAGATCATATTCACCTACGACGTAGATTTTCAGGTAATAAGATTACAAAAATCCATTTTTTGATTTATTTCATCTATTCCATCAACGGAAGGGGACACGATTTTGAGTTGGAAGATATTCCCTGATACTTCTTACCCAAAATAGTTTTTTGTTCACATTTTTTTTGGGTGGAAAACAAGGTTTAACTGGGCTTATATCTGACTAATAATCTTTCCTGACATTGTTTCAGGAGAGTGATGTGAAATGGGCATCCAGATGGGACGCTTACCTTCTGATGAGTGATGATCAAATCCACTGGTTCTCGATCGTGAACTCCTTGATGATTGTCCTCTTCCTCTCCGGAATGGTGGCGATGATAATGCTACGCACACTTTACCGGGACATTTCCAAGTACAATGAGCTCGAGACCCAAGAAGAAGCTCAGGAAGAGACGGGATGGAAGCTCGTACATGGCGATGTCTTCAGGCCACCATCCAACTCGGATCTTCTCTGTGTCTATGTCGGGACAGGAGTCCAGTTTTTCGGGATGATCCTCGTCACGATGATCTTCGCCATTCTAGGGTTTCTCTCCCCATCAAATCGAGGTGGTCTAATGACAGCCATGCTCTTGCTTTGGGTCTTCATGGGTATTTTCGCTGGTTATGCTTCTGCCCGCCTCTACAAGATGTTTAAAGGAACTGAATGGAAGCGAATCGCCTTTAGGACGGCAGTAATATTCCCGGGTGTTGTCTCCATCATCTTCTTTGTCTTGAACGCTCTTATCTGGGGCCAGAAATCATCCGGGGCTGTACCCTTTGGAACAATGTTCGCCCTCATTGTCCTCTGGTTTGGTATCTCAGTCCCTCTCGTGTTTGTCGGAAGCTACCTCGGGTTCAGGAAACCTGCGATTGAGGAGCCAGTAAAGACGAACAAGATCCCGAGACAGATCCCGGAACAAGCGTGGTACATGAACCCGATTTTCTCGATCATGATTGGTGGGATCTTACCGTTCGGTGCCGTGTTCATCGAACTTTTCTTCATCCTGACCTCGATATGGCTAAACCAATTCTACTACATCTTCGGGTTCCTCTTCCTCGTGTTCGTCATCCTGATTGTAACCTGTGCCGAAATCGCCGTTGTCCTCTGCTACTTCCAACTCTGTAGCGAAGACTACCTATGGTGGTGGAGATCGTACCTAACAGCCGGCTCCTCGGCGCTGTATCTGTTTGTGTACGCGGCGTTCTACTTCTTCACAAAGCTCGAAATCACGAAATTCGTGTCGGGATTGCTCTATTTTGGCTATATGCTCATCGCGTCTTACGGTTTTTTCGTACTGACGGGGACGATCGGGTTTTACGCTTGCTTTTGGTTCACCAGGCTTATCTACTCCTCCGTCAAGATCGACTGAGATTTTAGCATAACGTACCAAGGCTTTTCAAGGTATTTTATAAAGCATTATGGTTTTTAGTTGTAAGATTTTTTGTTTTTGTTATATTGACGCATTCTTCTTTTTTTGGAACTCCGCGGGTCTACACTTTTACGTTGATGCTACATTTTTAAGTCTTACACTCGAAAACGGAACCCACCCCCACACGAAGTAACAAAAACGAAAGGAAGAAAAGAACAGAAAACGAGCACAGCTTCCGAACATGTACTGACGTTTTTATAAGGCTGTACATAGGGGTAGCCAATACGTTTGTTAAACCGCATCTGGTTGAGTAAGATAATTTAAAAAAATCAATTTTTTAGACAATAAATATTTTATCAATAAAAGTTAATTTGGATTATATTCAACGAAATTTGTTTTTGGTAACCTGTAAATTTTTATACAAGCTAAATGTACAGCACTCATTTAGTCTCTGACGTGGTACAGACTCGTGGTACAGACTCAACTATAACACGAGCAACCGGTCAAATATACGAAACCATAGACAGTGGTGTTTCCGAGTGACCCGAGTAGGGTAGGTATGATTTAATGGTCGAGATTTTCCGGCGAACGCATGGCAAGATCTCCTTTCTGGTTAGTGTCAAACAGTGGCGGACGCACAAAACGTTTTTAGTATCATGAATTATAACATAACCAAATCTCCATTTGAAGAAGGATATTCACATGAATTTTTTCGATCGTTTGAAAGATATAGTTGGGTAAAAACTCTGTGAACTTGCGGATTATAAAAAATAATCATAAATTATATATAAAATATAAAAATGTTAAGAAAAATATATTATCAACAAAATATTTATGTCTTACAATTAAATTCTACAATCTTTTATTTATAACAGTGTAAAATATATCTTTTCCGATGAAACAAACTAAACAATCACTCAAAAACTGATCATCAAATTCTCAAAAAAAAAAACTGATCATCAATCCGATTCCGCAAAGTTTTCGTCACAAAACTCATCATTGAAAAACATCTCTCAACAGTTGCGGCGACAACGAGTAAAATAAAAAAAAAATCATAACATTTATATACATTTAATATGATTGTTTACAAATTTAATTATTTTTTGTAATTGAATATTAGATTTGTATACATTTTTTAAAAAAATATATATAAAGATTAAAAGAAAAATTAAAATAAAACAAAGAATTATTTTTTTTTAATTTAAATAGGAGGAAGGGGCCACATAAAATTGGATAGGGGGCATTTTAGTTTTTTTATTAAAATTTTATCAAATTTATAACTAAATCAATTTTTTTACCTAAATTAATGGGGGCATGGGTTCCACCATATATATGAGTTCGCCCATGGTGTGAGAGGTTTTTACTGCCGTCCATGTAATTGAGCACTACATTTCATCCATATCATGTAAAACGATGTCTGAAATAGTAATAATGCCTAAAATAATAGTAAAACCATGAGTTTGAGGTTGAGTTCGAGAGTGGGATTGTCAGCGTCGATAGAGGTTGATATATGTATACCGAATCTTGAATTTATAACCGATTTACGTCTCACCGCAAGAGTACGAATCATAGTAACACATGATCGAACACAAGGACTGGTAGGTAGAACTAAATCTAATCAAAACCAAATCGAAGTCAAACACGTAGTGATGGTGAATGTGTGTGAAATCAAGGATTCTTTTGACATGAGAAAATTTATTAAATCTTCAAAAACACCTTATAATCTTGTATTTTATATTCCATTTATTAGGTGAAAAAAAGAAAAAAATAGAGATGTGTTAGGACCTGAAATTATCATGAACACAAATAGGCCAAAATAACATTTTTCTCTAACTAATTATGTGAATCACAACTGTCGAAACAATAATAAAAATTCTAGGATGGGTTTCCAAGGATGGTCCAGTACAAGAGAGTTACTAATAATGCCGAATGTATGTACCTTCCTTTTTTTGTACCTGCCAAACTATTCTTCTCTCGAGATAAAACCACAGCCATGACCAAAGCCCCGTCTTGAGTTTTTTTTAATAAAAAAAGACCCCCAAAAAGGAAAAAAAAAAAAATCTCGAGACCTTTTTATCACTACAATGGCTGCTTCATTCACCTAAAAACTAAAAAGCTGCGACTTTTAATTCGTACTTTTCCCCGCACGAATCTTCTGAGTTCTGATCAATCTCCGCAGCTACATTCCCTGCTTAAATTACAGACAAAAACGCTTATTTTTGGGGTAAAATTTATCGCTTCCTCTTCTTACCGGAGTTTCTCTTCGACTTAGCTGACTTTCCCTTTGATGTTTTGGGTGCTTTCGGGCCATCTTCCATGTCTGGCTCACCTCCCTCGTTCTCCTTGGCTTTGGATGAAGTTGTTGAAGTGTTGATATTTGCTTTCCCGGTGCCTTTTCCCATTTTTCCCCTGACGGATGAGGAAGTTTTCGGGTTTGGTTTCGAGGAAATCTTGGGGTGATCTTCCTTTTTCTTGGACAAAGCTTTCGATGTGAGTGTCTCCATGTCTTCTTTTGTTTTGACTGATTTCGGGGTAACGGTTTCTTCTTTCTTGGATTTGCTGGTTTTGGGTTTCTCCTCCTCTTCTTCGCTCATTCCATCAGATACATCGTCTTTTTCATCATCATCTTCTTCTTCTTTTTCTTCTTTGGTCGTTTCCTTAGAAATATGCCTAGTCTTCTCATCCTCGGATTTCTTTCCAGACCTCGTTGTTTTAGGCGTATCCTTTGTTTTATTTTCCCTTTTCTCATCCTCGGGTTTCTTCCTGGCCTTTGTAGCAGCTTTGGATTTTCCAGATGAAGCACCCCTGAGTACATCACATATTGGCTTTTTTATTTTTCACTCTCCTCAAACGTAGTTTAACCATTCAGAGTCTCACTTACTTCTCTGATGACTCTGCCTTTGTTTGCTTGGCTGTTTGGTCATTGCCCGTCTTAGCTTTCTTCTTTTGTGGCCTGAAAAGTGACACATTATCTCGGTCAAGAGTACACAACGAAAAACACGGGTTAAGGAACTTAAAACAGGTTAACCAAGAAGGAATACATACACTGCAGATGTTTCATCACGGCCCATCTGATCAGCTTTTTCATCCTGTCAACGGAAAACGTTCAACATTATGCAAATGGTAAAAGAAGAATCAAGTAGAATGTCAGATAGATAATGCTAATATATGTACCATCTCTGCCGATTCTGATTCATCTTCAATGAACTCCCATTTCTCCTTTCTAAGATTCAAGCGTTCTTGATCGCCGTCATCATATAAAACCTGACAGCAAACAGTACGAAGCAACAGATACATAAAAAGTTACATGCCAGTTTTCTTCCAATTGAAATGCACAACACTTAATGGGCTTGGACAACCAATAACTGGGTAACCTGCAGTGTCGACAAGAAACAACACCAAAAGAATTTAAAAAGAGCACAATAGATTTGATCTTACAAGATGTTTCTTCCTATCAGCATCGTACGAATCAACAACACCTTCATAATACCTACAGAAAAGATCGAAAACTCATTTAAGAAGCTTATATGGAACAGAACTGGAATTAACAATTTGATTTAAAAAAGGCAAAAAACTAAATACTAACGCGCGATCCTTAGGCCACCAGATTTTAACCTTCGCCCCAACTAGGTTTTCACCAAACTCTTTGTCTTCCAATGCCTGTCAAAGAATTGCAAATACAGGAAAATTAAATCACAGATCTAGGAAGAGCAGAAGCAAGTGAGTGAAATCCTCAGTCAGAGGAGGATAGACCAAAAAACAGATAACAAAAGCAAGATCCGAAGCTCCAAGGTAGGGAAGGGATAGATATCCAATGTAAAAAATACCAATATGCGATTTTTTTTTTCACATTCTTTCGTGGAGAGGCAACAAGAATAATCAGGGAATCTATGATTTACTTTTTCTTTGTCCAGATTAAGCTTTCTCTTGGCCTCTGTCTTAGGAGTCTCTTCAAATGGTTGCTCCTCATCTTTGCTTGACTTTGGATTAGGGTGGAAACACAATGAACGCATATTAGTCATATAAAGAGGACGGAGAAGTCACCTATGCATGCAAAATGAAATAAATGTATCAAATCTACACAGATTAGAAAACGTACTTTTTCCTTGTCGTCTGACAAAGTGTGAGACTGGTCCTTCTCATCAGTTCCCTGCTTTTTCTTATCCTCCTTTGGCTTTGAGGATACTTTGACATTATCACTGTCAACTGCTTTCTTCCCCGACTGCTTCGCTGGTTTTGTTTCAGAGATGCTTTTCTTCATAAGAACTGAAGGTTTTGTTTTACTCGAAGAAGCCATCTTCTTCTTTCCAGACCTTTTTGCCGGTTTAGCTTCTGAATGTATTGGTTCTTCAGGAACAACTTTAGCAGAATTATCGGCGGATGATTTCGCCTCCTTGGTCGAGGTTTCCTTTTTCTTCTGGTTTACAGCCTTCTTAGAACGACTATCAACAAGAAGGCTCTCGCTAAGAGATGGAGAAGTGGCATTTGGAGTCTCATCTGCCAATGGCTTTGATGGAAAAGCTTGTGTACTTGTTGCCTTCTCATTATCAGAAGTAGCTACGTTGGCAGATGAGTCACAAGGAGGTGAACTTGGTGCACATTTGCCACCATCCTTTCTGTCCAGGGATGCTTTGGATTCAGTCTCCTCTTTGACATCCGAAGCTTTTGATGATTCCTCCTGTTTCACAAAGCTGGATTGTTTTCCTTTTTCCTTTGTTTTTTGATCTTGCTTGTTTTCCACATCAGTCTCCTCATCACCAGCATTACCCATCTCACTGTTCCCAAACTTGTCAGGTTTCTCTGGCTCATCCTTCACATTTGTATCATCTTGCTTCTTTAAGGTGTTAGTATCAACCGATGAACCATTCTCTGCGATCTGTGCAACTTTTGCTAACTTTGATTTATCCTGTTCATTGGAAAACAATAGCCCCATAAACAATCAACTTCACGCAAAAACAAGAAAGACGGTCTTTTTGGTTCCTATAAATTTAACTAGTTAACAGTAAAGAAACATGCTTCATCTGCCACTTCCTCTAATAAATTATCTTGAATTTCTTGTAGTACACAATGACCGAAGTCCATTCAGTACAAAAGTGAGTTAAATATACAGACACTCAACAGAAGTCGAGAAACACTTTCATATTCATAGCAAACAATATGCAAGCATGTCATCTCCAAACAATAAAAGAAAAACGAAACAAATGAGAAAGCTTACATCACTTTCATTAGCAACGGCTTCATTCTGCTTTAAAGCATTTGATGTCCCTTCGCATATTGAAACAACTACGTTACTATACCCATCCAAGGAGAGACCCAACAATTTTATTGCATCAGTCAGGTAAGGTTTAAGCTTGGCAGCTGAGCTCTTGAGGACTTCTTCTGCTAACTTCCGCGATATTTGGGGAACCTGCCAACAATTAACGGAAAGGGTTAGACAAAAGAAAATAAGATAGCAAAACAGAAACAGAGAGAGTCCACCACACATCACCTCGTTATCCTTTCTGACATAATCCAGAATTGGTGAAAGTAACTCTGGAGATATCTCCTCACTTTCTTCTAAAACAAGGGTCATAATTGTCTCCATAGACGAGAATACATTGTCTGGATGATGATCCCTGTCAAAGATAAAAATCTTTAGAAAACGAACATGTAGTCATAAGTCGTTCAGAAAGGCAATCCACATCAGTACACCAGTTACGGATATACATTATGAGCACACAAACCTAAACAGCACACCCTCATATCCAGGGAAAAGCTGAGTCGGACAATAATTTTGAATGTGAATCAAGAAGATATGTGAAGTAAAGAAAAACCAGGTTTCAAACAGACAGCAATTGCATGGAAACTCTGGTTCTGACACTAATATTGTTACCAGATAGCTTTTTGGAGGAAAAAATACTGAGTTGTAACAGCAATAACCCAGAAAAGGAAAGACGTCAGAAGAGTTTTTAAGAGGAAAATTGACAACAGTGAACGAAATAGACAATTCATCGTACATATAATTCTCTGAATACTCAGTACATAAGTTTCTGAGGAATTCACCCAAAAACGGTTACTCAAATATCGAATTTGGCTCCTACAAGAATCGGGATAGTTATTTTGTACCTTATAGCCTTGAGGAAGTTCTGGAACATCTCAATAATAAGCGCATCACACTCCAGATCCAACATCACAACACATGATCGGACCTTTGCAACAGTATCAAGAATTGAAGTCCTCTTGGAATATGACCGACTAGATATGTCAGTTAGATTTTCAAATGACGATACAATCAACTGGAACACCTCCTGCATTTAAACCAAAGAAAATAATCAGCACGCATTTAACGTCCCCCTTTCACAAACGAAATGACTGCAGTATAAATTGACACACTTTCATCTGGTCATCATCATACGGAGCATCTGGAGCAGTTATTCTCGTAATCTCACTGATGCAAGCAGCAACTGCAACATTAACATCGATATCCGAGTGCTTGAAGAGTTTGTCAGCAACTAACGATTTCATCAAGGGGGAAAGCGCATTTTGCATTGAGTCAGGAGGTGACTGTTCAACCTCTGATAGGCAGCATTCAACTTTCTACACCACTCACAATCAGTCAGAAACAAGACTTCACAAATTTTAGAAATTTAACCATAAACTCGAACGTCAACCACCTGAGTGGAAACTTACAATCTTTTACATGAATAGCACAAAAAGAAAATCGGTCACAAACAAGAACGAAAAACTTCCAGGAATTTTACTACGAAAACTATAACATCGATCACAGCGGAAACTTACAACCACTAGCATGAATAACAGTGCGTAGACATTAATCAAACATTTAGAAAACCTTGTTAGAAATTTTCATTACAAGACTAACACTCAGAACCAGAGCTCCATTTGTACCAGCACTTATCAAATTAATATTACATAACACACACACATACACAAAAGAAGCATTACAACTTCTATGATAGAACTACAGGAAAAACTTTCATCTCTATAGGTTTTTTAAGTCTATGAAAAAGTTTACTGCTTTTGAAAGTTATCATACCACACTTGTTTCTTCCATTACTATTGGAATGCAGCAAATGCAGAATGTAGATATATGTTTTCATCCATAAAACCACATGGAAGAGGATACACAAAACCGGCAAAACACAATCTTTCCTATTGTGCCTGCTGACCATCTTAGTAACTTCCTTCCAAAGGCAACCCTACATCCTATGATGCTAGTACTCGTGAAGCTATGCCTTCAGATGCAAGATAAAATCAATGCCAACACAGGAAATGAGCAACACTACAATTTCACACATATAATCAAATTCCAACTCTGACATCCTTTATATCTGAGAACATAAGAGTGGCTTAAAGCCCGAGATAGACACACATCTGCTTCATTGGAAACAGATACATATCGACATGTAAACACAAATATGGGGAATTTTCACAGCAATGTACTTTCTCAATTTCCAGTCTCCAGCAATTCAAGATTCACAGCAAAGACAAGATCTCATTTGCATGGAGAAACAACGGGACAAATAAAAAACAGTCATAACCAGAAATCGACATCAATCGCATGCATACACTTAGCATTGCACAAAATGGAATGCAAGAACAACAAAAACACCACGTAAATTTGATTAACGTAAGAGCAAAAAGGGAAAGTGCTCACGTCGAGAAGAGGAAGAAGCTCCTCAACAGAAGAAGGCGGGTCAAGAAGCGTTTTCCCAGCTTCCGTAAGCTGCTTCTCAAGCTCATTATCAGAAGCCGCCATGATTTCTTCTCCTTCTTCTCCCTTTCTCCCTCTCTCTCGCGCGCGCGCTTTGTTTATGTATGTCCACAGATCTCAGCAAACCCTAACTTCGGAAACCTCAACTTCTCACCATGAAAACCCTAGAAACTGCATCGATTCCGGGAATCGGAGAACAGATTCGCCGGATTATGCGATGGAATTTCTGCCGGTAATGGAACAACAACAACACGCTAGGGTTTGTTCCCTTTTTAATTTCTTATCTCTCTCGTCTATAGTTTCCTTTTTGGCGAAAATATGAATAATTTTCTCGGCCGAGAAGAAAACCTTATGCGCCGTTAAAACGATTTTAAAAGCGCAAACAAATGGAAATTATTTAATATTGTTTACGTAATTGTACGGAGTAAATATTTGACGTCTTTTATTTTTGTTTCTTTTTTCTATAGTTGTCCGGACTCCACCTGCATCTATGAATTCGGGTTTAGAGTGTGGACCTGGAGTCCGCTTTTGAATTAGATTTCGTTTCCTCGGGAGCCATGTGGTGTGGATTCCGTCCAACGTTAACGTTTTATTTTAAACATGAAAAATAATTGGAAAAACTTCTAAAAATTTCTAAACCTCCAGGAAAACTAATTCCTAAATTTATAGCTGTATTTATTTATTTCTAAACTTAAAAAATTGGATACAGTAATTTCTAAATTTGTTTGAGAATATCATAATCGTCTTTACCATAAATTTGATCAAAATAATGGGTTGAACAATCCTACGTAGTATATGAATTATTAAGACATGTCAGATTTTAATATCATGTATACAAAACTGGGTTTAATAGACACGGTTTAACAAAACCGGTTCGTAATAGTAAAAATTCTGATTGAGTAAAAGTAACAATTTGGAGGGTACTTCCAGATTCATCGATAACGTTTCTGGTCACTGCATCTCTTCCTTGAGCGACGTCGTTCTCATCGGAAAATATGAGATGAAAGAGATTTAGTCCTGATGACGGTTATTTCGACACCGAACGCTCCTATTTCGGCGAAGATATCGTCGATTCGGATATAGAGCTCGAGAACCGACAGTGATGTTAATTATTTCGATCTCCGTCGTTATCCCAGCTCTTCGGATGAA